AAGAGGAATGAAAGTCAGTCGTAGTAAGACGGAATACATGTGTATGAACGAGAGGGAGGGAAGTGGAACAGTGAGGTTACAGGGGGCTGAGGTCAAGAAGGTGCAGGAGTTTAAGTATTTGGGGTCAACAGTCCAGTGTGATGGGGAGTGTAGGAAAGAGGTGAAGAGGCGAGTGCAGGCAGGTTGGAGTGGGTGGAGAAAGGTGTCAGGAGTGTTGTGTGACAGAAGAGTGGCAGTGAGAATCAAAGGAAAGGTGTACAAGACAGTAGTGAGACCAGCTATGGTGTATGGGTTAGAGACTGTAGCAGTGAGGAAAAGACAAGAGGCAGAGATGGAGGTGGCAGAGCTGAGGATGTTGAGGTTCTGTTTAGGAGTGACCAAAGTGTCATGTCATCCATCCAAAGTGTCCTTGGGCAAGACCCTGAACCCCCAAGTTGCCCCCGATGGTCGGAGCCATTGGTTGAGTTGGCACGGCAGATGGCTGCCTCGGTTCTATACCGGAAACAAATTCCTTGCATGTGTAACATACTTGGCCAAATAAAGGTGATTATTATTATCCTTATTACATGAAATACATCATGACCTCACAACTATAGTAAGACAAAACTTTGTGTGTATTTTTCTGTTTCCACTATGGGAACCTAACAAGTGGTACACCTGGTACTTCGTCCCGCATAACCTCCCAGGTTGATGCAGACCATCCTGCTTTCTTTTTCCACTGCATTTTCTCTGTGCCAATCTCTGTTTAGAGGAGGGAGGGGCCCCTCTCACACAGGCAGTCAGCTGAGCACAGGGAGAACAGACAACATGAAGGACCACTCCATAGTGCAACAGAAACTGTATGAACAGTTTATCAAACAGCTGTTGAACAAGCATAACACAGACTTGGAGAAAGGTAACGTCTTCATGGCTTTGCCGGCTGTCCACTCATTGAAGTCCCTGTTTTACCGCTAAACCAGTATATGTGCCTCTTTACACACTGTGCTTGTAATGCTAATGCTCGAGGTATGAAGACAGGACATTTAACCAAACACAAGTGACTGTTCTGCACCCCCACCTCCCTCGCATTCCTGGAACTTGATTTTAGTACTACATCCTGAGGGGTGCCAAAATTTAGCTCCTGGTATGCACAAAGGGGGCACACAACAGTGGAAACAAGTGCAGAACCCATGCTGGATGTTACTCAGCTCGATCTGTTTTCATAGGTTCCTATAATGGAAAAAACCCTTTTGGGGGTGTGTGGGTGTATCTGTTGATCTGGGCGATGAGTTGCTACATACCACTGCCCTAACAGGAATAAATAAAGATGAACTGGATATATAACATTCCTCCTCCCCAGGTACAACTGAAATGAAAATTTGTATTATTTTGAATCATAAATTAACAATTTCAATTTTCAGTAAAATTACCAGATCGGGTCTTGGGGAGCCCTGGAGCATTCTGGATGTAGTCTGGTGTGGCAATAGCCCCGATCCTCTGCCTCACTGCAAACACCAGACATAAACCACATCAGACTAACTTGCATGCAGTGCAGGGTTCATTACAGACACCATGTAGAAATGAAAATGCATTAGAAAAAACATAACTCAGACAGGGCTACACGAACTTTAACTTATACTTTTTTCAAATAACTTTTTTAAAGCACTTTCCTTTGCATATTTTATTTTTTCACCAGCATCTGTGCAGTAGGATCAAATTTAGGGTTGGGTTTTAAATCTCCTCCTGTTTCTTTATCCTACAAAGGTATTAGGGCTTTAGTGGAGACCTGGAGATGATCCAAAAGCCGCTTCAGAAACTCTTCTTCCAAAAAAAACTAAATTTTAATTTAAGACTTTTTAATAGCACGCTGAATGCAATTTAAAGCTCATGCCCATAAAAGCATTAGAGTATGATGGGACAATATGGCCAGGTATCATATATTATATCATTCATAATGATATAATATATCATCTTTACCTGCCCACTATGAGTTGACCAGCTACCATACCTAGCAGCAGTGACAATGCATGCTATACACAAGAGAAAATATTTCAAACTTATAATTTAAATTGAATTGAATTGAAGTCTTTAAGACTTTTCATGACCTGTAGATACCCCAAAGAACAGATTTCTCAGTTAACAGTGAAAATTATTTTTTGACAGAAGAAAGAAAACTAAAAACAATGTTCACCAACCTCGTTTTTTTAGTTCTGCTTCCAGCGTCTGGTTGTACGTCACTCCATCATTGAGAGTTACAAAGCAGTAGAGACTTTCTCCTTTGACAGGATGAGGTCTGCCCACAACAGCAGCTTCAGCGATGGCCTCGTGCTCTCCTAGTGCTGACTCCACCTCTGCTGTACTCAGCAAGTGACCTGGAGAGAAAAGACAAAGAGTAAAGAAGTTCACACATCCTAAAATGCAAAGTTCTACTTCAGAAGGCTTCCCCACATTTGGGCATCAGACTGTGAGCTTTGACACTGGGAAATTAAAAACAAAGAACTCCATTTCCCAGTTGAATAAACTGCATCTTGCCTTTATACTGATACATAAGGTATGTCTTCACAAAAAAGTATGACATTATAGTAAATATTAAGTAAACATCCATACCTATCCCTATAAAGTTAACTAATTATCTCCTGATGGTCTTGATTGTCAAAAATTAACTCAACAGTTAATTGATGAAATCAGTGTCATTCAACAACCTATAAATAAATTATTGTCTTACATCCCTAACATATACCCAATTTTAGTTGCAGATTATCAAAAAGTGAAAAAAAAGAAAAGAAAAAAGCTTTCTCCCTGAAGAATGGCCAAGAAATAAGAGGGAATTATAATTTTCTATTAAATCCCCCCTGACCCCCAAACCCACCGCTCCAAGAAAATCCAGATACAGTACATGGCTCCATTCATTTTCCCTTCAATAACATGGATTTTCTCCAACAATTGCACTTGTGTCTTCCGGGTCCTTCTGGAGCTCTTTTTGAGTGGTCCTTGGATCGTATCGTACCCTGACTTATTTTCTTACTGCCTGGTCAGATAGCTTATCAGTTAATCAAAACTTTACACTTAGAGCACCTTTCATGCAGGATTCATGCAATGCAAAGCGCTTTACAAGTCTGACAACAGACAGTACGAGTGTGACCAATATAAAAGTTAAAAAATACTAAAAGACAGTGAGATTAATGTATACAACAATTTAACAATTTAAATATATATATAAATGAAGTAAATAAATAAATAACATTATGAGGAGCTCCTATGTGTGGCTGGTTGATAGTGGAGTGATGCTTCTTCCACTTGTAAATAATTGCCCCAGTGGTGCCTATGAATAAACCAGTTGATGAGCTTTGTCATTCTTGTGTTGCTCAACCATTTTGTTGAGAAGGCCTTGGGAGAGCTCTTTGTCTCCACCCAAGATGAGATGTTCCTTGCATGACAGCTTGGCAACAAGTGATGCTTTCACAGATGGCTTTTTAAAAGAGTTGAAGTGCTAATTATTTTTTAATGATTTTGAGATTGCAATCCATGCTTTTGTCACTTCCCGCCTTGACTATTGCAATGCTCTATACAATGGTGTTAACTAGTCCTCCCCCTCTCGTCTTCAGATGGTTCAAAACACTGCTGCTCATCTTCTAACAAGTACTAGAAAATTCAAGCATATAAACTCGGTACCGGCTTCTTTCCACTGGCTTCCAGTCCATTTTAGAATTGATTTTAAGCTGTCGATCCTTGTTTTTAAGGCTAATGGTTTGGCTCCATCTTACCTCACTGAATTAGTGCATTGGCACAAACCTACAAGGTCCCTCAGATTGTCAAGCCAGTTTCTTTTAGAGGTTCCTATGGCCAGATATAAACACTGGGGTGATCATGCTTTTACTGTTGCAGCCCCTATATTGTGGAATACTCTACCTCTTAATGTTAGATCAGCTACTGACCTGACTACTTTTAAATCATTGCTTAAAACATATGTATTTGCCTTGGCTTTTAATGCACAGTAGGGCCTGATGCATTCCTGATGCTGATGAGGTTTCCTGTCCAGCAGTGCCCGCTGTTATTCTCCAACCTGCCAGCTATGCTGTCACCTGCTCATCTCCTTTCTACTCATCTGTGAATACCAAAGATGCCAGCGACGTAATCTGCAAGGTATCCTGCCCAGCAGTACCTGCTGTTAACTCCAACCTAGCAGCTATGCCGTCACCCCTTCTTCTCTAGTCTGCTCACAGTACCGAAGCAGTGCCAGTGAGATTCCTGTCCAGTATATCATCTACTTTTTCCGCTCTGCCTGCTATGCTGTCTCGTGATCTCTCTTTCTCCACTCACCTGTACGTCAAGGTCCTTCGGTTCTCCTGATTCATGCCCAGTTGGCCTCCACTCACCTGTATGCCACGGTCCTCTGGCCCCACTGGTACCTGCTCATCAGCTTCGCTCGCCTGCACACCAAGGTGTCAGGTTCAAGTATGTTTTCCACAGATTGTTACAGGTCAGAGGTCTTACCTGAGACATTCAGCATGTCATCTATCCTCCCTGTTATCCAATAGTAGCCATCTTTGTCTCTACGGCAACCTGTAGAATGAAAAAGTCATTAAAATTAAAACATAGTTAAACATTTTTGCAAGAACACAGCACTGCAAATAGGGTACAGTCAGGCTGACTAAAGAACAAATGAAAAGTGAGCTAGATCAGCTCATCTTAGGGCCCCGATCAAAGATGGGTCGCTGACTCGTTTTTACAGGGTCACCAGTTGGCAGAGTAAAATGCATAACAAGAATATGATATGTGGGTTAATTTTCCAAATCAAAGTTGAAGAACAGAATTCTTGTTTCCACACTGGTGTGTTCAGCTCAAATGCTGTGGGCAAGTCTCTCCCTCTCTCTCTCTCTGTTGCTCCTCTTCCCAGCCTCATCTCACCAGGCATCGAAGCTCATGAGTTTTCCCTGGTGGGCCTATAGGCTACGTTTTTCCTCCCAAACTGCCTAGACATTATCCAGCCTGTAGACCTACAGATATCCAACAGGCCAGCTGTGGAGACACTGCTGATGCAGCCTTAACAGCTGTGAGGCCCATTGCCTTCACATCTGCCAAGTAGATATGGTAGCAAATAAAACTTGGAGAGATGAGAAACCGGGACCCGCAGTGCAGAAAAGGAACAGGACTAGAAAACGGAATTGTTAGCTGATGCAAAAGTGGCTAATGGACTGGAAACAGCTGCTGCGTGTGATGATGAACAAAGAAGCAGATGTAGGAGCATCAAGAGAGGAGTGAGTGGAGCAGATGCCTTATCGCTGACTATTTACTGTAAGTTGGATTCTCTACTGTGGTCTACAAACTCACAGCTAAGTGCAGCCAGTGCAGAAAAGACTAAAGAAGTCAGAATGGTAACGTTAAATCTAAATGTCTGCAGAGAAAGTGCAAAGAACCGAAACAGTTTGATTGTAAATGGGTCAAATAATTATGAAATTGTCTTGTCCCTTTTATAAAAAATAAGAATGGTCTGCTCAGCATATTATAGAGTACTCTAGGGCTGTACCCGACTAAGAATTTTGTCAGTTGGCTTATCAGAGCGACTATATATTTGTTTTGTTTTGTTAGCATAGACTGTCAAAAAATCAACTGGCATGAATTTCATTGATGATTTAGACCACAATAACATTGGTAATCAAATGCAAATGAGGGGAACATATTTCTGATCATTTAAAAATCAATAAACACAGCTGCATATGATCCAAGATTTAAAATGCAACCTATTTAAACTGACAATATATAATGTGGGGCTGCAATATTGATTTGTTGGAATTACGAGAGAGGCAGCACACTTGTATTTCTGTTGAAACAATGCTCTTATAGGCAATTATTTCTTCTGAGATATGGTTATAGCCTAGTTTACCAATGCATTTAAGCTTCTCCTGTCAGTTAAACAGGCGCATGTTACATTTGATGCCTGCCAACTTGCACTACTAAAGAACACAATATATATGAGTCCTCTTATTTATAATTCCTCATTGAAATGTTGTCCCCTTGTATTTTTGTTATCTTCCTAGTCCTGCTCAGATGGATGCATGCTGCACAAACAGTCGGTAAACAGCTGTGCATTACACTTTAGCGTAAATAGGTGAACAAATTTGGATGGACCACAATAATTTTATTGTGGATAAAATTTTATTGGATTTTATTAAATTATTTTATTAATTTTATTAATTTATTATTACTTTTAGTGGATTTTATTGGCTTTTTCTCCTTGTTCCAGGCAGCAGTTTGATAAATAGTGTCTTTGGACACTGTGTGACATCACTGTATCATGTTACTGTGACTGAACTAAATCAGAGCTCTGTGCATCAATGCATATGATCAGGTAAACTACTCTTTAAATGTTATTTACTGCTGCATCACATGAAATAAAATAATACACCACACATGTACAGTAGCTGCCTATTTAAATGTTGGACTATTCATTGTGAATATAATGGCAGTCCAGGCGATGTTTGTTTCATACAAGTTCATTATGAGGTGGTGAAAAATTTAACATTACTCTCAGCAACATCATTATTGCTGTGATGTACTTTTATAATGAAATAAGTGCATTTCATATAGGCTACATTTTAAATTCAGGGTTGGTTGTGTTCATTATGCCTATCAGTAGTTTACTATTGCAGGTGTAGTTGCAATTCCTAACCTGTTTTTGTAAGATTTGGTCCCAGAGACAGAAACTGGATTTCTCTTATGTGTCTCAAAGTGAAAAAGTTTTGGAACCCCGACATGGATGGTGAGTTGGTTTCAGGTTTTTAGGGTTAGGTTCTTCTCATTAAAAAAGTCAACAAAAATTTTTCCCATGTAAGTTAAAAGTTTTGGTAAACAGTATGATATAAATGGAGTAAACAATAAACAACACCTCGATTTATACAGCAAATTTATTTTAAGGCTGAAAATATTGTATAGAACTAACTACTCTGAATTACAAACAACATAAAAAGTAATAACCCAGAACAGCTTGCACAAACATGCTTCATGGTAACAAGCAGAGAACTCTGGTTCTACTGGGAGGTGAGAGGCGCTCTTTACACTTAATAAAATAAACCGAAATAAAAAAACATATTTAAATAACTAATTTTAAAAAGAATATGTTGATGCCATAAAACTAGTCTATCTGCACCCAGGCCATCATTGTGCAGTATCTGTGTTCTTTTATTCTGAATTGTTCTTTGTCATGTTCTCATCTCTCACCATCTCCTGTGACGTAGTATCCGGGGAACTTCTTGAAGTAGGTGGCTTCAAATCTCTGATGGTTTCCGTACACAGTCCTCATCACACCAGGCCATGGCTGTTTGAACACCTGTTGCAGGCAGAAGCAAAGCGCGATCAACACACATGAGGAATCAAAGGCTGAAACACAATTCTGTGAAGTATACATAGATGTTTGAGTAAAAATCCAGTATAAACAAATGGTTTGGATCCTCTCAAAGCACACTAATTATAATCCTGACCAGGTATCCTTCACTTGGCCCCTCCAGCTCCTCTCCAGACTCATTCAAGATGGCTGGCACCACTCCAAAGAATGGGAACGTCTGAAGGAGAGAAAAGGACAAATGGCAGATGTTAAATGTTTAGTCTTTTAGAGTTAGTTATTAAGATGTGATTATGATTTTGTACAGAGGATTGTCTGAAATAAGTCCCACATTAATCTAAGCATGATTTTGCCAGTTAATGATGTCCTCCAACCAGCCTCCTATTTTTTATTACGACTTATTTTTATTACTGTCAGAACAACAAGTTACACCAAACCTTATTTCTATCTATCAATCTCAAATTTAGTACACTTGTGGACAAGAAGTGTGTGAACCATGAAATGGAGGAGATTTACACTTTAAATTTTAGTAAGTTCACAGTTAAAAACGAAAGTTAAGGTGGTCATCCTCCACTGTGTTGGCACATGGCACTGAAGTAAATAATGATGGAATTATTTCCTTAAATTTGATAACAGCATTGTCAGATAGACAGCATCTATAAAATGTATCCACCCCTGAATGTTTTACCCTCTTATTGATTTTTATAAATCAGTCATGGTCAATATAATTTGGCTTTTCTGACAAAAAAAATTACAAAAACCTTTTTAATGTTAAAGTGAAAACAAGTTTCAGACTAAAGAACTTTCTTCCACTTGACCATGGAGCCTCCCATACGAGTTGTCTTCAGTAGTGGCTTTCTCTTTTCCACTCTCCCATGAAGCTTTGACTGGTGAAGAACCCAGACAACAGTTGTTGTATGCAGAGTCTCTCCTATCTCAGCTGCTGAAACTTGTAACTCCTTCAGAGTAGTCATAGGTCTCTTGGTGGCCTCTCTCACTAGTCTCCTTCTTGCACAGTCACTCAGTTTGTGAGGACGACCTGATCTATGCAGATTCAGACATGTGCTGTATTCCTTTCATTTCTTGATGATGGATTTAACTGAAAACCCGAGGATGTTCAGTGCCTTGGAAGTGTTTTTGTATCCATTCCCTGACTTAGACTTTCAATAACCTTTTCTCTGAGTTGCTTGGAGTATTCTTTTGTCTTCATGGTGTAATGGTAGCCAGGAATACTGATTCACTAGTGACTGGACCTTCCAGACACAGTTTTGTTTATACTACAATCACTTGAGACACATTCACTACACTCTGGTGAGCCTCATTTCACTAATTGTGAGACTACTAGCACCAACTGGCTGGACCTCTGTTGAATTAGGTCAGTCATTTTAAAGGGGATGAATATTTATAGAATCACTTATTTCCCATTACATACTTTTATTTAATTAACATTACTTTGTAGAAACCTTACCACTGCAGAAAGCAGGTATATTTAGGAGAGACCTACTGAAGATGTTTGTGGCATTTTTGCTTCTCCTGGCACATCTGTTTCATATCTGGAATATGCTTCTATGCAGTTTGCAAAAATGCAACATAAAAAGCAAAATAAAGTCAGGTCTCTGGCATTAAGTTGGCAAATACACAAACATTTTGACTGCTTTTGAACATCTTAAACCCCTTTTATCATCTGCTGCCTTCTAATAGTATTATATTTTAATTTTATGTCTGTTTTTTCATTTGTATTAGCTTGAAACTAGCATACATGCTTATAGTTTTTATTCACTCTTTAAAAAATTGTCCCAATCCTTTTTAAAGTTTAAAGGCATTTAAAACACTTTGAAACTTCCTCAGATATATGACTTGTATATCCCTTTGCCCGGATTTACAGTATTAAAGCCGTGTAGGTAAAAAAGAAATAAATAAAAACTGTATGTCAATTACTCACGGCAGATCCAGGTTTCATGGGTGTGGCTGCAGGTAGAGGAGTTAATACATGTCCACCCTAAAGACAGAAACCAAGATACCTTTATTCCAGTGTGAGTAAACTGTCTCTGCAGCAGGAGGAAGCAGAGTTCCTCCTAGTAGTTTGATAAGGGTTAATAGAGCATTGTCATTGGTTAAACAAGATAAGGTAAGGGTTAAGGTACTGTAGGTATTTTCTTCTGAAATGCTGGGAATAAAAATAGGGAATGCTTTCCTTTCTTGTCTATGAGGAACTTCAGTGGTGGAAGAAGTACTCAGATCCTTTACTTTAAGTATCAGTAGCAAAACCACAGTATAGAAGTACTCTGATAAATACTCAAAGAGTAAAAGTCCTGTATTCAAAATGTTGGTTTACAGAAAACTTTGTAGTTTTATGTATTATCAGAAAAATCTTATCTTACCTTAACCTATAATAATATGGCACAATTTATTTGTTGATTTTATTTAGTTAAATCAATCTGTATCTGAAAAGCAACAAGTAACTACAGCTGTCAGATAAATGGAGTAAAAAGTACAGCAGGGTATATGCTGAAATCATGATGTTAAATTCAATACCTTACCACTTACAATTACCACTTTTTGCTTTTACCCTCACTGTGAGAGAACTCGTGTATCCTCTCTGATCACATGTCATTTGAGGCCACCTACACGCCATCTACCAATATCCACAGACATTTTTGTGAGCAAGTGTACCACCTCAAAGTAAACTTGCCTTAAATACAATACACTGTACTTTCATCCCTACTCACTGGGTCTAAAGTACATTGGTCAAGGATCAAAAGTACTGCCTGTCAAAAAGCACAAAAGAAGTCGTGCTATGTGTAAGAATTGTCATGATTCTTCATGCTACATTTCTAATCCTATAACTTAGTCTTGGCCTAGCCATACACATTTAATATATGATGATCATGCAGACTAAATGTTTAGAAGTGACAAACAACCCAAATGCATTTTTAATAATCAAGTGAAATATTCCGTGTTACCAAATTCAAGTATCTAGCCAGCTACAGTTATCCAGTACCAATGCTGTGTAGCAAAAGTAAGACTTCATGTGCAATACATTACCCAGTAATGCAGTAGCCTATGCGTTACACAGGCGAAGCATATTATGCCACTGCTGCCCTCACTGAACTCCGCCCTTTAACCTCCTCAGCTGCTTGAAGGAAAAGATTGTAGGTCATTCATACCTCTCTTATTTTTCCTCATCCTCACTTAG